CTAATGATCCAGTCTCGGGCTCCTTCCCAGTCACTTCCAGTTAGGAATGGGCTGCCAGAGAACATTAGTGATTAGGGGAGCACGTGGTCACCTCTTCTAGAAAGGCATTTCCTCTTGTTTCAAACTCTAACTTGCTTAGTAACCCAAGGACAGAAACCCAACACCCTGGAGTCAACACCACCCAATAACAGAAGCAGAGCTCAGATGGTTTGCCCACCTCAAAGACGTTCCAGGGGAAATTATTACGGAAGAGAAACACATAAAGCCCCATACCCACACACAACATCCTTGTTCACTGCCAATGCGTCAACGTTACCTCAATGCTGACAAAGAGACTTGAACTTGGGAGTTTATTTCACATGGACAGACTTGGTTCCTACGTGAGATTTCTGAAAATCTGTTTTAAAAATTGTCATCGTGCATGTTTTTTAAAGAATCCTGTTCTTGGCTTTTATCAGACTTTCAAAAGAAGTCATGAGTCCCAAGAACATAGAATCCCTGTTTTACTCTATATTCATCCAAGTGAGTACGCCTGGGGGAATCATTCATGGAGTCTCAGGGGCAGGGAGGGCCAAATGACCCCATCTGAAGTGCTCATGACTAAAGCCATGCTGCAAAAAGCCTGAGCATGCTCAGTGGTCTGTCAGTGATCGCCAAGATCTCTGAAAACCGACCGCCAGCAAGCTGACTCCGACTCCTACCACTTGATGAGTATATTCTTCCGCAGGGGTTGACCCAGCAGAGTTTGAAGGCGTACATCACCAGACCCTGCTAATGTGCCTCTGGGTCGACTCCAATCACCAATCTTTCCTGTCAAGTGTGTTGAGTGTATTTTTCACCACTCAAGGAATTGTTAGGGTTTCTGACAGATCAAAATAATGTGTGAAAAGCCATTCCTGGTATTTGGTCATGAGAAAAAAACTGGAAAACAATGGTCAGATTCAAGCAGGAGATCGATACACCCTGATTTTCATTTTCCCGCCTTCGCCATTGTGCCTTAAGCGGAAGCACCAAGCAGGCCTCCAAAAATCTTACACCACCCCCAAAAAAACAAACGAAAAAACCCAAAAACCTTACACCACCCTTCCTTGTGCGCGCGCTCTCTCTCTCTCTGTTTAGTGGCGCCTGGTAGAGGATTTGCTGCAGACATTTTTCAAAAGTCCAAGCTTACTGAAAAGTTTAGACAAATAAATTAAAATATGAAATTGCTCCAGTTGGAGAGAGTGGGTGGTAGGACCAGAAGCCTCCCCCTCTCCCTCCCCCCACACTCCCCTGAGCAGGCCCCAAAGGTCTGAGAGAAACCCTAGAAATACTCCGTGCAGGGAGAAAACCACTTCCTAAGGGTGCAGGAAGCCTACCACCAGATTAAACGCCCCTGTGCTGCTCCTCCTGCAATCCCTCTGGGTGGGAACCCAGCAGCGCTGCAGAAGCAAACGTCGAGGCCCCTCTGGGAAGGGTGCTTCACTGAGCTCTTTAAGCAAGTGTTTTTATACCCTTACTTAAGAAAAAAAAATTATGGGAAACTATATAAGCTCTCATATAGTGATAGGCCAACATTTTTTATCATAAACTTTAAGAATATTAAAGATGAAACTTTCAGCATATTGTAAATATTGTATTTAGAAATAGAAGGGCAAGTCAAAAAGTATTGCCACCAGGGTTCCAGTTCACACATGAGCTTATTCCAAACAAAACATGTTTAAACATGTCTCTGTGATACGTGCGTGGCTTCTCAATAATAGTTCCCTTAAAAAAAAATACCAACACATTGTCATTGCGTCACTTCCTACTCACAGTGACCCTGTGGGAGAGAGCTGAGCTGCCTTTGGGTTTCAGAGACTTGGAGAAAGCTTCATCTTTCTCCTGCGGAGCAGCTGGTGGTTTCAAACTGCTGACCTTGTGGTTAGCAGCCTAATGTGTAACCCCCTATACTACTCACTGCCTTTGAGTCAATGCTGCCTCATGTGGGTTTCTGAGATGGTAACTCTTTATGGGAGTAGAAAGCCCAGTCTGTTGCCCGCTGAACTGCTGGTGGTTTCGAACTGCTGACCATGCGGATGGCAGCCCAATCCCTAACCACTCCATCACCAGGGCTCCTTTTATTACCTATTAGATAGAGTGTGTTGTTTTGTTTTTTGAAAGGGGGGGAGGGTGTCAAATTGAGTCGCTTCAGAGGGTATCTGCTGGGCAATTTAAGGCAGAGAGGCCAGCTCAAAAGGTTAAGGTGATTGTATCTTGGGATCACAAAGGGTCGTATTGAGAAATTTTCTTAAAGAATAATCGCAGGAGCTTATTTATAAAGAAGATTTAAGAAAAATGAAAACTTCACTGGTGAGGAAAAGGCCAGGAAGCTTCTGGGGGGGCTTTATTCTGTCGTGACGTGATACTTGCTCATTCTTTGGGGGTAGCAAGGCCTATCGTACAAGAACCTCATTGGGAAATCTTACCCCATCAAACCAACACCCCTGATCATAACTTGTACCCCATTATGCCATCAGGACTCCTTTTTTATTGAGAAGACTGTTAGAGAGATGAAAATGCTGCCCTCAGATGGGTATAGACATAGTTGGGGATATGTTAAGAAACAATAGCTTCACATCCTTATATTTTTTGTTTGCTAAAGGCTTCTATGAGCCTGTACCAATATTTTATGACTCATCATCATAAAACGGTTACATCACTTCAAAGAGATCCAATGGAACTAAATACCATAGTGATCTGATAAGCTTCATCAGGTTAAAAATATATAAACAAACACTTTAATAGCAGGAAATTTCAGATTATTTATATTCTTTCCTTTAAGATGTTTATTCCTATTCTAATTCTCCTGCAAAATTTTAGCATAATGTTTTCAAACTAGAAGACTTATCTTTGTTCTTTGAGAAACCTGAACAAAGGAAAACAAAAAACAAACAATAAATAGAAGTGGAAAGGATTTTAATTTTTTGTAGCTATGTCTCTACATGTTAAAAACTTGTTCTTCACTGAATTATTATTAAAATGCCTCTTAGAACACCAGTAAATACAATTGTTTTTAGTCATAATGCAATTTTTAATAAGTAATTTACACTTTTACATTCATAACTCTCTTGAAGATGCATCTCTAATTGAGAAGAGGGGCTTTTCTTCCATTTGCTCATCTATCTGTGGCTAAATATTAATTACTGATAAAATTAGGCAGATTCAGAATTGACCCTATTTCTATAGTTCACTTTCAAGGCTTTAACTGCTGGAAACTTTGGCACACATGAATACATAAATAGGAATGGAAATTTTATTATAGCAATGTGTCTCAATGATTTAAACTCCTTCCAAGGTATATGCTCCAAAATGACATAGGGATTATCACCAAACATTTAGCCAGTGGTTGAAAAGCTGACAATTTAATTGGTCCTCCCTCGTTTTTAATGAAAGGAGAGAAAGGGGGAACCAGCAGGCTGGGAAAAGGGCTTGTCATACTATTATTTCAGTTTCTAAATGCACAGACCAGTCTTGTGCATGGTCTCTATTTGGCACACAGACTTTTCTTTGACCTTGAGGGGCAGGGCCCCATGATACACAGGAGCAGATTAGTGAAAGGCAGGTGTAGTTTCTTTTGTAAAGTGGCACAAAGATGTGCTTGAGGCAGCCTGACTTCAGAAAAAAACACACAATCTCAAAATAGACTTACTTAAAGCTCTGCTGCCTTGTGTGTACATTAGGAAGCAGGGCACATCCTGCTTTGAAGGTTTCTGCTGTGGTACCTGGCATGACGCTTTGTGGGCAGTGAAATGCAGTCTTGAAAACAGCTGGGGATGCACAACACAATCTGGGAGAACTCAGTGGGGTGAAGTCCTCATGAAGGGGCCGACCTCAGGCTCACCTCGTCAATCTCCAGACCCATAAATCATCACATTATGGTGTCTCGGTTTCTGCCAACAGGCCCTGCAGAGAACTGCGCACTAACGCCCCAGCTTAGCAGAACACAGCACCTGCCTCTTTAGCAAAGTTGGTATTCATATGCCTACTTACAAAACTCACGATTCAGATGCCTACTTAGCAAAGCCAATATTCACAAACTCCTCAATAGAAATGTTAGGCTTCTTACGCAAAGATAAGTTCACTATCGTGAGACTTGCGTTGATTCGAACTGTGGGCCTCTGTGGCTCTGGACTTCTTAAACTTCGTCCCCTTGTGACCCCCCTCTCTTATTCAGGACATTTGCAACACAGGCAAGAGATGCCAGAAACATCTCAGGTCCATTATGTGCTTGAAGATGAATTAATGTTGGATTGTAAGGTGTTCAGAGACCATTGGCCATTGCCAAATTTTTCATGACTCCCATACTTAGTTACACACCCCTATATGGGTCAACCACCAATAGTTGAAGAAACTTTGTTCTATACTACTTGGTTAGGAAACAGTCAGTGGTGCATGAGTAAACATACACACACACCAGTCCATTCTACCCCATACACCCACCATCATGTGTCTATATCATTGCAGCATGGCCGATGGCTATTGAGAATTTCTGTATAGAATTTCTATATAGGGGTTCCACTACTCATTTGTCACACTGCCATATGATGGTGGCTTGTGTGCTGCTGTAATGCTGGGAGGGATGCCATTGGTACTTCAAATACCAAGAGGGTCACTCATGGTTTCAGTGGGGCCTCAATACCGACTAGGAAAAAGGCCTGGTGATTTATATCCAAAAATTAGCCAGTGAAAACTCTCTGGGTCACAACAACAGACTGCCTGATACAGCACTAGGGATGAGCTTGTGGAGAGGCCACAGTACCCAACGTGGGCTGGAGCATGAGCTTACCAGTGACTGGGAAGGTGGCACAGACCGGGCATTGTTTTGATCTGCTGCCATGGGGTTTCCAGGAGTCAGAATTTGCCGGCCGCCACTAATGATTAGTAACATTAGTAACATAACAGAATGATTAGTAACCAGGATTTTTGGACTGTGTTGATTGTACATAGATACTAAAAATAAGTTTCTTTTCTTGTTTCAGGCCCGCAGCACAAAAGCCAACTGGAACCGGAGACTTGAGAGTGTGATCTTCCGAGCTGTTCCACTCCTTTGCTTCAGTGCCCTGATCGCTGGTAAACGTTAGGTTCCCCTTCCCCTAACCCCCGTGACTAGTGAGGAGTCCTCAGACCATTTTAATTTCTTTAAACAGACTTTTCTTTGAGAGCAGAGAAAATGTCTTCGCAGGTAAGTCACATCAGTAAGCTGCTAGTGTTGCCAGGAGCTGCTGAGTGGACTTTGACTCCCGGTGCCCTCAGGTGACAGAGTGGAATACCCACTAGGGTTTTGTACGCTGTCATCTTAGGGGAGTGGCTCAGCAGGTCTTTCTCCCACAGAGCTACTGTGTGGGTTCGAACCACTGACCTTTCTGTGAGCAGCCAAGGGCTCAACCACTGAGCCACTAGGCCCCCTTATAATATTAATATCCTCATCTTTATCCCAAGGCAGCTATAAAACATAACTTGAAATGTTTTTTGTTTTATTTTGTTTTACGGAGGAAGGAGCCCACAAAGGCAAAAATGCCTAGTGCCCATCAAAGTCATGCTGTATCCTCGGACACAGCAGAATGTGTGGCACAAACTTTCAAGGCAAACCCCACATTACAGAGGTGTCAGTGAGGAGGTTCAAAGGTAACTGAAAGCCGAGAAGCAGCTTGAATAAGGACCAGGCTTTATAAACAGGAAGAGGGGCCATTTCCAGGCCTGATTGCTTGCATTGTACACCTCGTCACAGAGGAACTGGCCTCGTTGGCCCCACTGCGGGCCCGCAGACTGCAATAACAACCCTTTGTCCCTAGTGTGCTTCATACATTGGAAAAGCACATGATTTTTGTGATAGCTCAGACAGATGGGAAGGAGAATTGCTTTGAGCTTACAAACAAGTAAGCAAGCATACATAGAGGAAGCAAGTGACCAAAGAGAAGCAGCCAGGAGGAGAGTAGCGAGTGGAAGTGTGGGGATCTGCTCTCTAGTCCTGGTTTTACCATGATGAGCTGCATTTCACGTGTTCAATAAGTATGTCTTGAACTCCGACTGAACATAACGACAAGCTCTATGCTGGGTGCTAAGCATGGCGAGCCTGCCTTCCGGGCTGCATGTCTAGCAGACGTGGAGAGTGCTGTATAAACGGACATTACAGGCCATGGCCAGAATGGGCCTGGGGGCAGGGACGGCATGCAGTCGGGACCTGGTGCGTCCAACCCAGGGATTCCGACTCCTAGCCACCCTGTCAGGCAGAGTAGAACTGCTCCCTAGGGCTTCGGAGACTATAAATCTGCACAGGAGCAGACAGCCTCGTCTTTCTCAGGCATGAAGTGGACAGGGCAGCGGAGAGGGCAGCCAAGAGAGCAGACACATTTGGGTTTGCCAAGACCTGGAAGTGGGAGCTGTTTTGTTAAGAAACTCAATGTGGCAGACCATGGGACTGGCCCAGGAGGTGGGTTGTGGATCACAAATCATCTGATTTTCCCTGTTAAAGATTTAACCGGTAGATAGAGGACAGTTTATGTGCCATTTAACTTGGGCTCGGGCAAATTACTCAATAGGCGTCCTTCTTTGAGTGAGGGGTCCCTGAGTGGTGCAAACGGTGATGCCCTTGGTTACGAACGGACAGGACAGCGATTCACACCCACCAGCGATGCCGTGATCTACTTCCACAGATGAGAGTCATTAAAAGCCCTCAGGAGCCTGGTTCTGCTCTCAACCACACAGGGCTGCCATTAGTTGGGGTCAACTCAGCACCAATTGGTTGGCTTTGGTTTCATTGAGTTAGCCACGACGGACGACCAGTCTGGTTTGCTTTGAATCCCTTAGAAGAGGCGGCGTTCCATTCGATGATCTCTGAGTTCTTTCCAACTCTGGTAATTTGTGGTGCCAAATCTTCAGTGCCCAAACATCTCTCTCATGACTCCAGGTACCCCGACATGAACTATGAAAACAAAAAACGTACACCTATGTGCAAAATGAAAACCTGATCTTTTCCTTTAAACTAGATTAGACATAAAATGGCCATGTGTTGAGAATTTGTCATCTGACCAGAAACCCATCTGAGGAGGCAGAAATGTGCTCACAGGCACAGGCAACCTCTAACCTGGTACTCACTCTCCATTCTTCTAGAATTAATGATCCAGAGTGAAGTGGCGGCGTGGACGTATCATTACAGCACAAAAGCATACTCCTGGAATGTGTCTCGGGCCTTCTGCCGGAAGTACTACACAGATTTAGTGGCCATCCAGAATAAAAATGAAATCGCCCACCTCAATGAGGTCATACCCTACTACAGCTCTTACTACTGGATTGGCATCCGAAAGATCAATAACGTGTGGACGTGGGTGGGAACGAAAAAGAGCCTCACGAAGGAGGCGGAGAACTGGGCGGACAATGAGCCCAACAACAAGCGCAACAACCAGGACTGCGTGGAAATCTACATCAAGAGCCAGTCGGCCCCGGGCAAGTGGAATGACGAGCCGTGCTGGAAGAAGAAGCTGGCGCTCTGTTATACCGGTAAGGGCTTCTCCTAGGAACCAGCGTCTGTGTTGTCCACTCCGATTGACCGGCACCCCCTGCGTGTCTTGGCAGAATTGGGTTTTCAGTGGCTGGCTTTTTTCATTTTCCATGTAGCTCACCCCCAGACCTTTCTTCTGAGCACCCCTGGGTGGACTCAAACCTCTGCCGGACAGGTATTCATCTGAACTACCTGGGGCCTCCAAAGCCTTCTCCGTTCCTCTGACATTTGTCTTTGCTGCAATGGCTTCATTGGTTGGTTAAACTAACCACAGGGTCCATTCATGGGAGCTACAACGTCAGGGAGGTTTTTAAAAAGCAGGGAACGGTGGCTGGTGGCTGTCCGGTCAATTCCAGCTCACAGTGACCCTGTAGGATCCCCCGTAGGATTTTCCAGGCTGTCACCTTTACTCGACTGCCATGTCTTTCTCCCCGGAGCAGTTGGTGGCTTCTGTCACCCTCCAGCTCTCTGAAAGCGCTTGTAAAAGTCAGAGGCTAGCTTGTCCCACACGGAAGATTTCCTCTGTCCACATACCCCTGGACATCTCCCTCTGTGTCCACACAGAACAGCCTCCTCCTGGGGGAACAGTAGCCGCAGCCCACACGAGGAGCCTTTTAACGCCCGCAGGGTCTCTCATGATGGCTTTCACGGCACAGCCTGAGTTTTCGGAGGCTGTTGTGGTTCTCTGTTGTCTGGCTCACTCTGTTCGACCCGGGCAGTCTGAGTCTGTGGCCTGGGACAACATCTCCTACAAATGCCCATGATTCTGACTTTGCACATCCATCCAGCGTCCTGCCAAGACATGTCCTGCAGCAAGCAAGGGGAGTGCATGGAGACCATCGGGAACTACACCTGCTCCTGCTACCCTGGATTCTATGGGCCAGAATGTGAACACGGTGAGGGCGCGGCTTGGTTGGTATTATTCTGGTATTTGCTCTTGTGCTAAAGGTGATGCCGGGATAGAAATGATGCGCTGGATGAGAGCTAGTCCCAGGTGCCCTCAATTATCTACCTGCTCCCCCCTCCCACCCCCAGATTCCTCTTAGATACACACTCCGGGTAGGCATTTTATATTTGGAAAAAACATTTGCTCATAAAAATCTCATCAGAGGAAAGGGAAACATAAAGGAAGCAAATCAGAGAACCCCTTGGGACTAATTTTCCTCACTTAACCGAAGGGCCAGGGAAAAAAGAATCATTTTCCCCAAGGTCGCCAGTGCAAACCCAGTGCTGTCCAGTCAACTCGGACTCAGCGAGCCCGTAGGACAGAGTGAATTGCTCCGTAGGGTTTCTGCGCTGCAAGCCTTTATGGAAGCAGATAACACAAAGGTACCAAGTAGCCATGACTAAATTGGGGTAGAGCCTGAGAAAGATGGAGCCAAGAGGGTGACATAGATGAGTTCAGCAAATATGACCTTTCTTTAAGTCGGTAATTGGGGAAAAAAATCAATGTTTTTCTCTCCTGCAGTGAGAGAGTGTGGAGAGTTGGACTTACCTCAAAATGTGCTCATGAACTGCAGCCACCCTCTGGGAAACTTCTCTTTCAACTCACAGTGTCACTTCCACTGTCCAGAAGGGTTCACCTTGAAGGGACCTGGCACCTTGGAATGTTCTGCTTCTGGAAACTGGACAGATATCCCCCCGCAGTGTGTAGGTGTGTGGTCTCTGTTCTTTACATTCTGTTTGACATACCGCGTCAAACACAAACCAGGCAAATTGAGCTTGCTCCATGAAACATGTAAGAAACGACAAGGATGCACATTAGATAAACGTTCTCCTCGTCTCTTACCCAATCACCAGAGTCGCGTCAGTTTGTCCTTTGACTCTTGTACGTGTTTTTGATCATTGGCGATCCTTGCCGATTTAGCACTTACCACTTGTAACAATTCTGCAAAAATCAATGACCATCATCGATATCCACTGCCACATTTCCCATGCCCATGAACGGAAACCCAATGCCAGCTAGAAAAATATTTCCCTCTGTCCCCTTCCCCCCTGCCCTTGGCAGCCACTGTTACACTGTGGCATCTCCACACTTGCCTATTTTAAGTATTTCATGTTAATGAAATCATACTATCTTTGCTTTTGGGGATTGGATTATTTCAGTAGCATAATGCTTTCAAGGATCATCACAAGTAACTCTAATATTTATTTCCATGGTAGTCTGAATTGGTAATGTGAGGAAATCAGTCTAATCCTTGCTTCTCAAGCAAAACCATTAAAGAGGTATTCTTTTTGCCTTGCAAATGAAACACTAAAACATGAGGATTGGGAATTGAGTATTTGTAATTGGATATGTTTACTTGCATTAGAAACACAACACTAAGCCATGAAAACGCATTGCCATCTAGTTGATAGCTACCCATAGTGCCATAGTGACCCTATAGGACAGAGTAGAACTGCGCCTGTGGGTTTCTGAAACTGTAAATCTTTATGGGAGTAGAAAGCTTCTTCTTTCTCCCAAGGAGTGACTGGTGGCTTCAAACTGTTTCCCTTGTGTTAAGCAGCCTAAATCATAATCCATTATGCCACCAATCAAAAAAGCAAGTGAAAAATAATCATGCTTGGATCTTTCCACCCAGCTATTGAAAGTGCCATTTACCCAACCAAATCCATCACCTTACCTGTCACTTGGGAAAAGGTAGTTGCTGCAGAATTCCAGGGCCTTCATGATGCTGGACATAAACCCAAGGACTCACAGCATTGCTCTTTGGTCGTTTCCAGCCACCCTGTGCCCACCCCTGGAGACTCCTGCCCAAGGAAGCATGGCATGTCGTCATTCTGCAAAAGACTTCCAGCACCAGTCCAGCTGCAGCTTCCGCTGTGATGAGGGATTCACACTTGTTGGGCCAGAGGAAGTTCGGTGCACTGCCTCTGGGGTGTGGACCTCCCCAGCCCCAGTGTGCAGAGGTGAGTTCTGGGCATTTGGAAAGTATAATGTCCACAACACCGAACCCATTCTGGGTGTAAGGATAAAACTGCTCAGCCTAGAGAGAATCTGGGTTGAACTGCCAAAATTTGACTCTCCTTGCCACATGCCACTCAGCTATATTCGGTAAATCCAATAGAGCACAGGAGTGCCAGGTTCCAGAAAAACAAGAACCTACCCTTATTGCACCAACATTTAAAAATCCTCCTTGGCCCCAAAACTGAGCCCACAAGCAGTTCAGAATGACGTAATTCATAATGAGCTTACAGGACCTATATCATGTAAGGGGTGTGTGTGTGTGTGTGTGTGTGTGTCACATCTAGAGACACTAGTAGAACAATGGCAACAGGTTTAGGGAATGTCGGAAATAGAGGATATTATGATTAAAACTTGGAAGAGTCTAGGCATTTCAGAAGCATGGGCCACTTTAAGACAGAGTGCTGCGCCATGTCCTAGACAAATGTCCCTAGGGTCTTAGAGCTTCCTAGCTCCCCATCAATTTCCACAAGTGGTCCTACCCTTGTTTCCCAGCAGTGGGCATGGCTTTCCTCCCAGCTCAGAACTCATTCTCTTTGTCCATGGTTGTTTCCCCAGCTGCTCAGTGTCGGCACCTGGAAGTGCCCAGCAAAGGAACCATGGACTGCACTCATCCACTTGCTGCCTTTGCTTTTGGCTCCAGCTGTAAATTCAAGTGCCAACCTGGCTATCGAATGAGGGGCTTGGGCACCCTCCGATGCATTGGCTCTGGCCAGTGGACTGCACCCCTGCCAACCTGTGAAGGTAGGGTTTCCCCTAAGTAGCCTCCAGCCCACCTAGGAGGAAGCCAGGGGGCAGTGGGAAGACCAGGGCTCTTAAAGACAGGGTGGCATGCTCCTGGCCCTGGCCCTGGAGCAAGAGGTTCCACCCCAGGAAGCCATGTTTTCTTTATCTCTGAAATGGAGCCAAGTCGTGCAAGGTTCTTATCTGAGGACTAAGGAGCATAGAGGATTAAGCATTAGAGGGCTAACTACAAGCTCAGTGGTTCAAGCCTCCCTCCCCACCCCGACCCCCACCCCCTGACCTTCGAGGCCATCTGCTCCCATAAAGATGTAGTTTCAGAAGCCCTAAGGGGCAGCTCTAATCTGTCTCATAAGGTCTCTATGAGCCAGAACGAACTTGACAGCAATGAGTTTGGGGTTTGTAAGGATCGCGTATATAAAATTCATACAACTGAAGAGCTGGTATGAAAGTACCTAGCATGAAACTGGCATCTAACAAGCTGAATTTTACACCTCTTCCCTCACCCACTCTCTCCCCTTCTGGCATGTGAAAGCTATGGGACGATGAACTAAACCTGAGAGAGAGTCAAAGCAGTGCTCTCAGGGCAGTGAGGGTCCCCCTCTGGGGTAGGTCATCAGTGTATTCCAGAGCCTATAGCAAAGTGGGTGTTGGCCAAGGAGCAAGGACCGCTGCATTGGAAAAGACCCTGCGCTGCACTCCTAGATCATTGGGTGACGTCATGAATCCAACGTCTCTGCAATTGTCTCAGACCTCAGTCTGGAGAGGACAGAGAGGGGTGGGGAAGTAAGACATTAAAGGTGGGATCGGTAAATTCCCAGACACCCACATTCCAAGCACAGGTCTGCTCCTGTCCAGCTAGGAGGCTCTAGAGAAGTCACTTAACATTTCCCCACCTGACATTCCTCATCTGTAAAGTAAGAGGAAAACACTAGAGAATCTTTGGTTCTAAAATGCCTTCATTCTGTTCAACCCAGAAGTCAAGCACAGGATGTACCCCGGGGTAAACAAACAAACAAAAAAAACCAACAACAAAAACAGGAACAGCTGGAGATGGAATGTCTCTTTCAAGAAAGAGCCAGAGGAAATCAATATTGGAGAACGGACGTGACTCAGGGTTGAATTGTGCTCCAGAATTCCACTTGGACTGTACTCACGTGGCCGTTTTGAAGTCTGATTAGGATGACGTATTGTGCTCCAGAGACAAGGCTCGTTGACCATCGCTTACAGGGTTAGGCAATAGGCTGTCCACAATAAACCACATGGTCCCTAAGTTCAGCCTTTCCCAATATCAACTATTTCTAGATCGAGTTATACAAATAATGCTCATAAATATTTAACAAGCACTTCTGATCTAACAAGTGCTGTGCTAGGCTATGGAATACAATGAGGACCTACACTGGCCCTCAGGAGACTGCAGTATACTGGGGAAGAATACAGCAGAGTGGGGACAGAGTGAGAACAAGGGCCCTGGTGGCCTCTTGGAAGGGTTCCTGACCCTGTATTGGGGTGGGCAGAGCAAGCTTCCTAGAAAAGTCAAGTCTAAATTGAGACCTGCAGCATGGCATGGAAAAGGTGCTCTGGACAGAGTGTTTGAAAAACGGAGCATTTGGGTTCAGAACGTACTGACAATGGGGGCATCAAAGATGTGGCATCTCCCTGAGAGGCTCTCTGAGGAAGAACTGGCCATTCCATTAGCCATTTCAGACAATACCTTTTCCATTTAGCCATCGCATGTGACCCAGTGGAGAGTCCTGCCCATGGAAGCATGGATTGCTCCCCGTCCTCGCGAGGATTTCAGTACAACACCAGCTATAGTTTCCGTTGTGCTGAGGGCTTCCGGCTGAGAGGGGCTGAGATGGTTCGGTGTTCTGACTTGGGACAGTGGACAGCGCCGGTCCCAGTCTGTCAAGGTATGGTGACAATGACATTTTCTTCAGCTACTCACAGCCTAGTAGAAAGCATCCATGTCGGCACCCGTGTGGAGCAGCACCACTCTCTTACCTGTCAGACACTCCTCAAGGAACCTTGATCTTAGGGCCATTGGGTCGGTTCCAACATACAGAGACCCCAGGTCCAGCACAAGGAATCACCACCTGATCCTGCCCCTTCCTCACAGTCGTTGCTGTGCAGCAGCCATTGTTGAAGCCATTTGTCAATCCCTGCCATCGAGGGCCTTCCTCTTTTTTGCTGCGCTTCTGCTTTACCAAGCATGATGTCCTCCTCCAGGGCTGGTCTCTCCTGACAACATGTCCAAAGAATGTGAGACCAAGTCTCCCCATCCTTGCCTCGAAGGAGAAATCTGGGCGTACTTCTTGCAAGACAGATGTGTTTGTCCTTTTGAAAGTCTCCGGTGCTTTCGATCCCTCTTCAGCACCACCATGCAAACGCGTTAGCTCTTCTTCAGTCTTCCTTATTCAAGGCCCAGCTTGCACATGCGTATGAGGCCATTGAAAACACTACGGCTTGGGTCTCGTGGACCTTAGTCCTCAAAGTAACCTCCTTGCTTTTCAACACTTTAAAGAGGTCTTATGCATCAGATTTACCCAATACAACTTGTCTTGATCGCTGGACTCCTGCTTCCATGAGAAATGACTGTGGATTCAACCAAGATGAAATCATTGACAACTTCAATCTTTTCTCCATTAGTCTTGATGTTACCCATTGGTCCAGTTGTGAGGATTTTGGTCTTCTTTACATTGAGTTGTAATCCATACTGAAGGCTCCAATCCTTGATCTTCATCAGCAAGTGTTTTAAATCCACTTTCAGCAAGCAGAGTTGTGTCATCTACATATCACAGGTTTTTAATAAGCTTTCCTCCAATCCTGGTGCCACATTCTTCATCTCATCCAACTTCTCTAATTATTTGCTCAACATACAGATTAAATAAGTATGGCAAGAAGATACAACCCTGATGCAAACCTTTCCTGATTTTAAACTATATACCATTCCCTTGTTCTGTTCACACAATTGCCTCTTGATCCATGTACAGGTTCTGTGAAGTGCTCTAAAATTGCCATTCTTAAGACCATACATAGTTCATTATGATCCACACAATCAGACACTGTTGTATAGTTAATAAAACACAGACTAACATCTTCCTGGTATTCTCTGCTTTCAGCCAAGATGCATTTGACATCAACAATGACATCCCTTGTTTCACATCCTCTCCTGCATCTGACCTGAATCTTTGGTAGCACCCTGAGAATGCACTGCTGCAGCCATTGCTGAATGATCTTCAGCAAAAGCTTACTTACGCATAATATGAATGACACTGTTCTATTACTTGCACATTCTGTTGGTTCACCTTTCTTTGGGATGGGTACAAATATGGATCTCTTCCAGTGAATTGGCCAAGTAACTGTCTTCCAAATATCCTGGCATAGATGAGTGAGTGCTTCCAGCTTGTTGAACATTTCAGTTGGTATTCCATCAACTCCTGGAGCCTTGTTTTGGGGTAATGCTTTCAATGCAGCTTGAATATCTTGCTTCAGCATCATTGGTTCTTGCTCATATGTTACCTCTTGCAATGGTTGAGTGTCAATTAATTCTCTTTGTTATAGTGACTCTGTGCATTCTTTCCACCTTCTTTTGATGCTTCCTGCACCGTTCAATATTTTGCCAATAGACACTTTCAATATTGCAACTCAAGACTTGACTTTTATCTTCAGTTCTTTTAGTTTACGGTGTGCTGAGCGTGTTCTTCTTTTTTGAGTTTTCTTACTTTAGGTCTTTGCACAGCTCATTATACTTTTTTACTTTATCTTCTTGACCTGCTCATTGAAATTTTCTGTTCAGTTCTTTGACTTCATCATTTATTCCATGTACCTTAGCTACTTTATGATATGAGCACGTTTCAGTCTCTTCTGATATCCACTTTGATCTTTTCTATCTTTTTAGTGTCTTTTTGCTTTCCTGGTGTATGATGCTTCTTGGTGTCATTTCGCTAGCTTTCTGTCAGTATTTAATGCATTAAATCTATTCTTGAGGTGTTCTTGAAATTCAGGTGGGATAGACTCAAGATTGAATGTTGGCTCTCATGTGCTTGTTTTAATTTTCTCCAACTTCAACCTGAACCTGCATTTGAGCAAATGAGGGTCTGTTCCACAGTCGGCCCCTGGCCTCGTGTTAGCTGCTGAGATTGAGCTTTTTCATCACCTCCTACAAACCAGAGATGAAATAAGGAGCAGAACCATTGTTAGGCCCAACAGGCTCATTTCGGCAATCTCAAGGCCAGGGTTGCATTGCTTAACAAGTATGAGAAAGGTTGGCATGGAGATAGGGGAGAACTGGAATATAAAGAACAGCATAGGAGAGAGGAAGAGTAGTGGAAGAGATGTTCAGTCCTGCCTCTGTCATTTCCTTCTCTCTGAGGTTCAGTCTCTTCTGTAAAATGGAGCTACCATTACTTGTCTTGAGGGCAGTGGTAGCTCAGTCATAGAGTTCTCACCCTCCATTTGAGAGATCCAAGTGCAATTCCTAGCCAGTGCACCACGTTCACAGCTACCACTCCTTGGCCAGTGTAGGCTTCTGCATTGGTATGATTCTGAATGGGCTTCAGTGGACCTTCAAGGCTCAGATGAACCAGGAAGGAAGACTGGCAATTTCTTCTGGAAACAAGCCAATGACAATCCTAAGCATGGCACTAGGCTGACCCTGTTGTGAACAGGCTCATGCATTGGGAGCTGGCTTGATGGAGGAGCGGTGGTGAAGCTTTGAATTGCCAACCACAAAGTTGGTGGTGCAAGCACACCCACTGGCTTCAGGGAAGAAAGGCCTCTATAAACTACACTAATAAAATGACTTATCTGCTTCTAGGTGAAACAAGCCCAATTTAAGAACCTCTGCTTTTGGCACTAGAAAAATTGAATGGTTGAAGTAATGAGTACTTAGGTATAACTGTTCCTCTCCTCTCTTGCTTCCTTGCCTCTTAGCTCTGCAGTGTCAAGGTCTTCGGGTTCCCAGGAAGGCTCAAATGAACTGCTCCCATCCCTTTGGAGCCTTCATGTACCAGTCCTCCTGCAGCTTCACCTGTGATGAAGGCCTGCTCCTGGTGGGTGCAAGCATGCTGCAATGCCTGGCTACTGGGACCTGGAGTGCTGTGCTTCCAGAATGCCAAGGTGAGGTTATATTCTCTCCAGAATTTGGGCAATACGCTGCAGGTTGTCATTTATAAGCCATGCCTGGCCAGGGCTAGCATCATGAACGGTCTGGAAAACTGATACATACTCTCGCTCTCTCAGGCTTTCACTTAGGGACCCTAATTGCAAACACCTTCCAGGTTTAGGTGGATGATCTAAGTGTCAGCCTGGTTGGCAACAGAAAATAGAGAGTGGCGCCTGTTAGCCCTTTACCAGGATCCTTGCTGTGGCTGCTGTTCGTGCTGTGAAGTCAGTTCCCACGCAGAGTGACCCTCGACAGAAGGAAATGCGGTCTGGTCCTGCATCATCCTCGTAGTCTGTGTTTGAAACCAGTGTTGCAGCCACTGTGCCAATCCATCTCACAGAGGGTCTTCTTTACCAGAGACCAAGGGCTCTCTTCATGAGCCAAGGACACTACTTTCAGTTGGCTAAACATACTATCTGTAAAGAAATCTAGAAGGAAAAGAGTAGGTACAGGATGACTGTCCCAAAGCTGACCTGGAGTGCCATGGTGGAATGGGGCAGAGCCGTGGAGCATGATGGGAGAAAACAGGCCGAGCCGTGGAGCAGAATGGGAGAATAGTGGGTGGCACTTGAAACCCCTCCTTCAAGATTTGTATGATATTGAAGAAAATACTTATTATAAAGTGAGAATGATGAAAAGAGGAAGAGACTACACTTTAAACTTGAGGTTATAGTGTTCTCAGAAGAAAGAAATGTTCATATTCAGTATAAACATATGGGCACAGCAAGTGTTATATGAAAGCCATTGCATTCTGTCAATATTACCGCACCCATGTGAAATGGAATTGACTTTGGTCATCTGTATGTGGGGAGTAAGAGAAACGTATGTTTTCTACACCTCCCAGCTTTGTTCCCTACTCAGTGCATCCAATTCTTTAGGTATAATTATGGGGAAGATGCTTCTTAAAACAGGGTTTTTATATATAAAAGCTACAGAAAAATAGGAATATATAAAGAAACAAAATTATATTCTCTTAAATAATTCCATCTTAAACCAGAGACTGTTTACTGTTCTGGTGTGAATTCCTCCAAATATTTTCCCCATCCACTTTTTTCCTATGCAATTCATGCTTTATGAAACACGTGTAATTTTAGAAAAAAGTCAATGTGTAAAATACTAGATACTTCTGTATTGTTTGCCTTGGGCTATTCACTTTGTACAGATTCTAGACACCTGGCAGATACTTTTTTTAATGAAGAAACAAGCACACGTGCACACACACCACTTCTAACTTGGGCCGACAGTGAATAAATGAATGAACAAGTGGATGAAAATACAAACGAATAAACAAAGTCAGCACACAGAATGCCCTTCATTCCCAGACAACTCATCACAGTTTGTATTGGATGAGCCTTCAAAGCCAGTAGTGTGGTTAAGCTATTGGCTGCGAACAGGGAGTTTGGCCCGCCAGGCACTGTGTCAGACAAAGATGTGGCAGTCTGAGTCTGCAAAGGTTCCTCGCCTTGGAAATCCTCTGGGACAGTTCTACTCTGTGTAATAGGGTTGATATGAGCCAAAAGCAAATGGTTAGATGGCACCTCCAGAGTGAGAAGCCTGGAGAGAACAGGATGGGGCGACAACCTTACCCCCTGCATCCTCATCCTGGCTCCATTGAAGCGTGGATCCATCACAAGTGCTCACAGCTTTAGGGAAGGACTTAGGAGTCTTTGCTCTGCGCTATCATGGTGATCAGAGCTCTTCCGCCCTGCCCTGACCTGTGCGGGGCACAGAGTAGAGTCTGTTGCCCCATATTGGCCTGCCTGTGGGCGTTTCACGGCAAAGAGGTTGCCACTCACCACTGCTTCCTGTGACCTTCCAGTTCTCTTCTGCTTTTTGTTCTTTGTTTACTCTGACTAAACTTTCTCCTCATCCTCCGGGGTTGCTGGGTACCTATCAATTGTGGGCTGGACAGGAAGGCACAACGGGGACTGAAACCCACCAGCTGTTGTAACATTTCTGAGCATATGTCAGCAGACAATTTCCCTTTTTAATGCCCAGCCCGCTCTAAGAGAAAGAGCCGGGAGCAGGCTTCAGGGCACTAAGATTCTCCCTCCACACATGCCTTCCCCCAAAGTGGCCCTTAAAGTTTACAGGCTTCTTGATCATCTTCTCTTCCTCTCCCCAGGGTGCCCCCTCATACTCACTAATACGGAAAGATGGCTCAGTGGCAGAAAACTTGGGGCAGAATGCTCCATTTGGGGGCAAGGTAGAAGGAGCTGTAGTGGTGCAGTTGGGTAAACGTTGGACTGCAAACTTCAAGGTCATCAGTTTAAACCCACCAGCCACGCTGCAGGAGAAAGATCCAGCTCTCTGCTCCCAGAAAGATGCACAGCCTCAGACCCCCTGGGCAGGATCGCTCTGAGCTGGAACCACCTCGCTGGCCGTGGATTTAGTGGGGAGTGGGTGTTGGTAGCCGGAGAGGGAAAGGAGTGAAGGAAAGAGAAACGCTCCCAAGACTGAAGACCCTCAACTGTTGTTGCCCACCCAGGTCTGAGACTGAAGAAGTAACACCCTGGAGTACATGTTTGCTTGGCCTTCACTTTTTAATGCCAGTGGATGCAGTCCATTTTATTATTATTATTGTTATTACTATTTGATTAATGAACAAAAGGACTTCTTGACAGCTATTAACAGTTGCATGCTATTGACTCTTCGATTTTGGTGAAAATCCTGGGAGTTATATAGGAGAGGGCTTCCAATAGTACATGGAAATGTTCCCTTGTCTTTTAATTCTATTTTATCACAAACTTTTAAAAACCCCTTGTATAACGTGCTACACTTCCCATTTTACTGGTGAAGAAATCGAGGCTGAGAAGGGTTGCATGACTTCCTAAGAGTCACAGTGCTCTTAAATGACAAGCAGGATGTACAACTGAAGTCTTTGGATGACCCACAGGACCCCTGGTGGTGCACTGGCTAAGTGCTCAGCTGGCCCCTCACACCCTCTGCTGCTCCAGGGTTGTCTGTTCTGTCCTGTAGGGGCACAGTGTGTTGGCAAGAACTAAAGCCACCACCTCTAGTAGTGCAGCAACACCGAGGGAAAGCAGGTTCCATGGCCCCTCAGACTCTACTTGTAAAAAACGTGACCCAAACTGGGAGATCTAGCTCAGCTTTTCAAACAAGCGCACAATTCACTGTGGGATGGGATGGAGGGGAAGTGATGTCATGATTTTTATTATTATATATTAAATGTTCATTTTATATGATTTAAATAACCAGCCATTGTCCAGATAAGCAAAAATCACTATTTTCCCCATTTCACAAGTAAAGAATCTGAGGTTCAGAAAGGTTATTGGCTGGAGACATGTTGCTAATAGGGCCAAGAGTCAAGATTCATTCGCACCTGAGCTCTTTTATCCCATGGTTGGGGAAGGAGTTTAGGGAGTCAAAAAAGTCCTTTGTGCCATATCTTTTTGTTGTTTGTTTTATTTTTAAACTTTTTATTGTGAATTGGGTGAAGGTTGACATAGTAAACCTGCTTTCCATCCTCTTCCTACATTTAGTTTCACGTCATTGACGGCCACAGTTGTTCACAATGGAACAACTGTCCCCCTTCTCCTGCTGTCTCCCGTGTCCATTCCTCCGTCTGTCCTATGGATTTGGGGGGTTCATTTTCTTCTTTCTATCCTATATTCCCCCTCCCCCCTTCTCTTCCACATTCCTTTCCTCTTTGCCATTGCTTTCCAATGAGGACATTGCACTATTTGCAAAGAAAGTATCAAGAAGCTGGCTTCTGCTCATGCCAACTGCATAGCTATCTTTCCAGACAGCTCACTCCCTCCTTTAAAAACGGCCTCTTTGTGGATGTTTCGGGGGTCAATTGCCCATACATTATTGTTTTATACTTCATGAAACACCAGCACTCACTTCTAACCAAATGATGCCCTTGGGTGTTAAGGATCTCTGTCTGTCTCTCTGATGCATGCATGCTCGCGTGCACACACATATATATACACACACAACTAATTTCAAGTCACTGAATTTCTCCTCTTCTGTGTTATGACCCACGGTAGCTATTACCTGCGCACCTCTACTAAGTCCTCAGAATGGGACAATGACCTGTGTTCAACCTCTTGGGGATTCCAGCTATAAATCCATGTGTCGATTCCGCTGTGATGAGGGATTTTCTTTGTCTGGACCAGAAAGGTTATATTGCACTTCATCCGGGCACTGGACAGGTTCCTCTCCAACGTGTGAAGGTAGGACCGCTAGTCTGTTCATTCTCGGGGTTTTGGGGGTGGCATTATAGGAATGGGGAATGGGCAGGGATTCATGCCAAAGGGTTCTTCTACTGAAGCAAGCAGCACACTCCACAGAAAACATCGTGAAATAGACCAAACGCGGCTCCTTCTCTCTCATTGGCTCTTTCGTCTCTATCTTTGTGAATAATATTAACAATTTCAGTTGATTTTATGAAATGTTTTCGTCTCACTGCATGATTTGATGCAGACCACAATTATGAAGTACTGAGAGAAATAGTATCGGCTCCATTTTATAGATAAAGAAGCGAAGGCTCCGAGAGTTTCCATAACTTGTCTAAGATTAACCCTGTTAATATGTGAGGACATCACCTCTGGTTCTGGGATTTTGAACTCCTTAAAAGTCTTTTCGACTACACTCTTCATTCGTGCACTGATTCATTTATTCACTCATCCTCAGACACTGAACCCAATAAGCTATTCAGAAATGGATGTGATTTAATCCTGGATCCTGGAGAATCTTACTTATCTCCTCTCTTCACTTGTGTATGGGCTGTAAGCTTCCTAAGGGCAGAATTATGCCTTACTCACATTTATATCCTTTGTAGCAATTGGACTGATGAGAGTGGTTGTGTGACAAATATCTGTTGAATTGAAGCTTTTTTTCCTTTTCTGGTAAAATTTACTCAAACATAAGCCCTACTGATTCTGAATGAGTAGAATCCTCAAAAGCTGCCTATTCTCCATCTTTGATTCTTTCAAGGCCAGAACTCAAGTCCTACCCATAGAGACTCTATAGAGGGATTCTGAATCTAAGTCTTTACAGGAGCAGGCAATTTCATCCTTCTCCCCAGTAGTAGCTGGTGGTTTTGAACCACTGACCGGGTGCTTAGTAGTCGAAGGCTTAATCCACTGTGCCACGCAGGCCCCTTAACTCTGACTATACTCAAACCAAAACCCATTACCAACAAGTCAATTCCAACAACGACTAGCTGCCCCTATGTAGGTTTTCCAGGACTCGATCTTCAAGGGGCGTAGACAGCCCTATCTTTCTCCTACCAAGAAACTGATGCGGCCCGCTGGCGATCCTTTCCACAGCGAACGTGTAGTTGTTGGGTGCGGTCTAGGGAGGTTCTGACTCTCAGCAGCCCCATGTACAGCAGAAGGAAACATTGCCCGGTCCTGCACCGATCTCACCGTTGTGATGCTTGAGCCCATTGTTGCAGCCTCTGTGTCTACCCATCTTGGCGAGGGTCTTCCTCCTTTTCATTGTCTCTCTAGTTTGCCCAGCATGATATTCCTTTCCAGGGATTGGCCTCTCTTGGTAACAGGTCCAAAGTAACATTGAAAGGAAGTCTCACCATCCTTGCATTTAAGGATGGCCTTTTAACCACTATGCTATACCGCCATCCTGTGGCAGCATTTTAAAATCCTGGTTAACATTCAAATTAAACCCACTGCTGGACAAGATAGCGACCCAATGGGATCCAGTAGAATTACCTCCATGGTTTTCAAGGCTGTACATCTTTACAGAAGTAGACTGCCACATCTTTCTCCCATGGGGCAACTGGAGGGCTCAAACTGCCGACCTTGCAATTAGCAGGCGAGCGCTTTAAAAGCCTGGCACAATCACTTGTAAATGTACACTTGTGCTGGCCCAGCTTGCTGCTGGAACTGTTGACATCCACTTGAAAGATGGCAGCACGGGGGACCAGATGACAGGACATACTGATGGACATGTATTCACGCCGTGAGCAAAGCAGCTCTCTCTTCTTGGGGTAAGAACTGAATGGATAGCCTCCAACCTTGATTGCTCTTCTTTTCTCTTTAAGAAAGTCACTTTGCATATTTAGCCTTCATTTTCTTAATTCTGAGTGAAAGGAAAGAAGTTCCTCTCCTGCCAGTAATTATGGCAATGAAAGCTCAAACATACCAGCTGACTGACACAAAGGTGGGCTGGAAGCCGCCTGAGCAATCCACAGCCTTGGTGCGGGAGAGCATTAGGGCAGCAGTTCTCTACATGTGGGTTGCAACCCCTTTGGGGGTCGAAAGACCCTTTCACAGGGGTTGTGTGATTCAAAACAGTAGCAAAATGATAGTTAGGAAGTAGCAACGAAAATAAATTTATGGTTTGGGGGTCACCACAAAATGTGGAACTGAATGAAAGGGTCACGGCATTAGGAAGGTTGAGAACCACTGCATTAGGGTTTATGTTTCATTGTTCATTTGTTTCTCACACATGACTTAATGCCTGGGACTTATACCATGTTTAATAAATGCTTGGTCAATTGAATTGATCTGTAAGGCACGGATTTATTAGTTACTGAAAAGTTGGAGTCCACTGGATTGAAATTCAGTGTGTTACTCTGGTTATCTGAATGGGGTCTAGTTATCAGTATCCATATCTTTCCCTGAATAGGCTATCACTGAAGCACACATGGGCCGATCTAGAAAAACTTCACTGGTGTTAATTCCAACTCATAGTGACCCTATAGGACAGAGTGGAACTGCCCCAAAGCTGTAAACCTTTCCAGAAACAGAAAGCCTCATCTTTTTCTCTTAGAGCAGCTGGCGGGTTTGAACGGCTGACCTTATGGTTTGCCACCCAACATGCAAAAATATAGCACCTATCCAAAGAAAGCATTTAGAAAGTAAAAATATTTACAGTAATAATACTATCTAAGCAAAACAAGTGTCCTTGTCCAGGAAGCTTTCAGAATAAATAGCCTTAGATTTGAAGTGATAACAGCTGAGCAGTTTGTCAATAATCCAATAGTTGTTGATAAATGATCATTTTACATGACAAAATCTGTTTGATTTATGACATAAAGAAAGCACAGGCCCAATTCTAGAAAAAGATGCAATGGCAATTGTTTATAAGAACAACTTTGGGGAAGTTATGTTTAGTAAATTTAAAAATCATTCCCCCCATGAAAAGTGGGTTAATGAACAGCACCACCTCATGGGACACAGTAGCGTGAATTGTGAGCGATGGAAAGACTTATGGCTCATGGGCCTTTGAAGCTCTCTAGACAGTAGCAAAGGGAGATGTGACACATGACATGACAGCCTGTGTCATGTTCGACAAAACATTGCAGGGTTCAGAGGAGGAGATGACTTCCGGCTGCAGGACGAGCGGAAGCTTCAGAGAAGCTGCGTTGAATGGGATCCTGGAACATGAGAGGAATGATAGTCAATGGACACAAAGAAGTTCATGGCAGTGTGGGCCAAGAACCAGAAACAAGCATGTAGGAGACCTACTTAGGGAACTCCCAGCAACTGATCTAGCTAGACAGAATGTTTTGAGCTTTCCTGTGCTGACAAACTTCAGTCTGATACAACACCTGGGATTCAAGTGAAGGAAATAGTGTGAGACAGAAGTGATCACTGAAGTTGGTGTAGTTGTTCTTGCTCGGCGCCGTCTAACTTGGTTAAGCTCATAGCCACCTGTGTACAACAGAACAAAACGCTCCCCGGTCCTAAGCCATCCGGATAACTGTTCTTATGTTGATCCCGTTGTTGCAGCCTTCCTCTCTTGTCCACCCCTCTACCTCACCCACATGATGTTAGTCTTCAGGGACTGGTCTCTCCTGACAACATCTCTTGCCATCCTGGCCTCAGAGGAGCATTCTGGTTGTACTTCTTCCAAAACAGATTGGTTTGTTCTTTTGGCAGCCCATTGTGGTTTCCGTATTCTTTGCCAGCACCACAATTCAAACATATTGATACTTCTTCTGTCTTTCTTATTCAATATCTAACTTCCACATGCATACGAACTTGGGTCAAACTCTCCTTAGTCCTCAAAGTCCTCAAAATAACATTTTGGCTTTTAGATATATTTTTTAAAAGGTCCCACGCAGCAGGTTTACCTAATGCAATGGGTCGTTTGATCTCTTGAGTGCCGCTCCCGTGAACACTGGTTCTGGAAAGCCTGTTGGATTTGAAGAGACAGCAGGACATCCCAGAGAAAGTGGTCTCAGATGGGGGAGGGGCAGGATGAAGACCTTCACCGCTTCTTCCACAGAGGTAGACTAGTGGGCTAGTGGGGGGCTGTGAGGTCTCAAAGCAGAGGGCACAGAGAAAAGAGGATGGAAGCGCACATTCTTCATTGTGATGGCTTAAATCCTTGGCTCCTTATCTCTGTGACTTCTGCCTCCCTCCTCTCTGCGAGACCATCGTCCCGCTCTTCTGCAGGCCTGTCTTATTTGTTGTGGAATGCCTACTGCTTAGCAAAACACCTGACCCATAAATATGTGTTCTCAATAAATATTTGTTGACTACATGGGGCCTTGGTGGCATAATGGGTTATGCATTGGGCTACTAGCCACAAGGTCATCAGTTCCAAACCACTATTCACTCTAAAGGAGAAAGAAGAGGCTTTCTACTCCCATAAAGAGTTGGAATCTCAGAAACCCACCGGGGCAGTTCTACCTTGTCCTACGGGATAGCTATGAACCATAATTGACTCGATGGCAGTGAGGTTTTTTGTCTTAATGAGTGAGTGATGAGCAGAACTTGAAGATTGTGACACTCTTGATTTGACGTCCCAGCCTTTAGGTGTCCAGAGCTGTTCTCCCCAGAACAAGGCAGCATGGATTGTTCTGACACACACGGAGAATTCAGGGTCAGCTCCACCTGCCGCTTCTCCTGCAGCAAGGGCTTTAAGCTAAAAGGGTCCCAAGATGTCGAATGCACAGCTTCTGGAAAATGGACGGCACCTCCACCCACGTGCGAAGGTAAAACAATATCTATCCTCTAGGAGGACAGTCTTCTTGTGTAACCACCCTCTATTATCACAACAACACATTTATGCAGACACGTCTCATTTTAGTGTGCTTCACAACTATTGCATATTTTTTGCAAATTGAAGGGCTGTGGCGGCCCCGCTTCAAGCCATTGTTCCAACAGCCTGTGCTCACTTCGTGTGTCTTTGTCACAGTTCGATAATTCTCACGCTACTTCCATTTTCTCACGCCTAGTAGACTACACTATGGTATCAACATAACATATGAACTGGAAACCCAAAACTTTTGGGGGGAAGCTGTCAGGGATGCATTCATGCTTTGGTCCACAAGCATGATCCTGGTAGCAGTAGTCAAAAGATCAAATGACACTTGCATTTGGTAACTCTCCTGCACAAGACCTCTTTAAAATATAGAAAAGCAAGGATGTTACCTAAGGTACCCCTCACCCAAGTCATGGTATTTTCTTTAAAATCATTTTATTGGGGGCTCATACAACTCTTATCACAATCTATACATCCATCCATTGTGTCAAGCACATTTGTACATTAGTTGCCATCTTCATTCTCAAAACATTTCTTTTTGTGTGTGTGTGACTTGCTTTATTGCGATATCTCTGAGGTATGTCTGTAGAACACTTAGTATATGCTAAGTATACATTTTATTGTTAGTATTGTGGGGAAAAAACTACTGCTTATAAGATGAATTGGTTACTGTGTCTAGGGAACACAGCCTATGGATTAAAAATATTTCTTAAGAAATACGAGCTATTTGGGTTCTGAAGCAGAAATTGTGTTGTAGGTTTGGCCTCTTTTACTCAATGGCTATTTTGAGTCCATTGCTTGGTCTCCACGGCTTGCTTCTCAGTAACGAATGCAAGGGGTGAAGTCATTGGCCCAGTTATTTGAATGGAGGGATCGAGAAACAGAGAAGTCTCCCTTTGTCTTCCTACCATAGGACAGCGGCTGTGACATCATTCACATGTCACACGTCATGCTGGGCTTTGGCCACAGGGCAAGACCATCTCCCAATGAAGCAGGGACAAATAATCTACCCAAGCAAACCCAACTCTCTATGACATTACTTATATTTCTACACCAACTCTTCTTTTTCACTTAAAGATATCAATAATATTAGCACGCCAACTTCTTTTCACCAGGAGAATCCTCTCTCTAAGTACTCTTTTAAGTGATTCCCTCTAGTGGTTATCCATACTTGAGATTAATACCACTCCTGAAGGAGAACCAGAGCTTTCTACAGGGTATGTTGCGAGAGGCTCCTGGCCATGATTTTGGTTATGCCCCTGTTAATGATTAGGCTTCTTTTAACGGAGACATTTTCTAACTTGAGACATTTCCTTGCAACAGGCATAGCACCAGCTCCTGCTTCAGCAATCCAATGCCCAGTCCTCGTCACTCCTGAGCAGGGGACAATGGCCTGTAAGCACCATCGGGGGACCTTTGGTTTGAATACCGCTTGCTACTTTGGATGCCATCCTGGCTTCACACTCATGGGAGCCAGCCCTCTCCGGTGCAGCTCTCCAGGACAGTGGACAGCAGCAGTGCCAACGTGCAGAGGCAAGTGCCTGACAGACTGTTCACTGTAGACGCTCAAATGCAACATCGTTTCTGACCGTTGAAATCCCACCACTTCAACCCCTCCCCAC